GAAGCCTCATAGCTTCTGTCGTCTAGCAGTCCAATGAACAGTTTGATAGGCTAAGGGCGAACTGAAGGTGGATGAAAGATAAATCAGCCATGTAGACAAGGCACCCGGGAGAACACCAGTTACAGGTAATGACTGTCTGTACACACACACCCACACCCCCCACCCCCCCCGGCCCTGGCTCTCATGCTCTTGAGCCTGTCATCCTCTCTGCTTTGGCTCTTGCTAGTTACTGCTTTTAGCGGGGCCTGTAATGGCAGCCCAGGCGTCACGCTGCAGCTGGAAGAGGTTGCTGGCCGATGTAGCTGACTGCATAGCTCATGGGTTTAGAGGTTCTTTTTTTGGGGGGGGGAGAGGGGGGGTTTTTGGTTTTTTGGTTTTTTGTTCCCTCTCCCCCCAAACTAGTCCTAACATAGATGCAAGGCCTTGGGCATCCTTTTGTTCTAGGCCCATGGTAACACTGATAATATAAAATACTTGTTTTCTAGGCTCATGGGATATCTCTGGGAGTCACATATACTAAGCTGAGAAGACTGTCACTGAAGGCTGAGTACAATGATGACAGCAGCATGGTAATTGTAATACAGCCACAGGCCTGGGTCAGTGAATTGTTGTTCAGCCTTTTTACATAATTGCATTTTTTTTTTTTCTTGTAAATGGCTGTTCCAGTTGTTGAAGGGGAATGCGTGACGCCTCTTAAATGAGAGAGCAGCTTCCCCTCAGCTGAATGGTGGGGTGGGGTTTTTTTTCCCCCCCCCCCCATTGTCTTGCACTAAGGAATATGTTAATGGTGTGCGTAACAACCCCTCCCCCCCCCCCAAAAAAAATGCCACTCCTGTTACTAATTTGATGCTGGGAAAGCTACAGTGCTTAAGAGCTAAGCTGCCACCAGATGGCAGCTGGCGTCCAGACATGACGCAGGGCCCAGGGCCTGGTGCACAATGGGGGCTCCCACCTTTGATGGGAAAGTTGGAAAAAACAAAAGTGGCCACAGTTAGCAACTAAACAGCCTAGTCCAGGCAGTATTGGCAAGGCTTCATCTGCTTTTTTTCTTTGGGGGGGGGGGGGGGGGAAAAAAATTTTTTTTTTTTGGGGGGGGGGGGCGAAAAATCTTTTTTTTTAGTGTGGTGGGAGTTTTTTTAGTTTTACAAGAGATGATAACTTCATGGCACATTATAATTCCTCATCTCTGCTCCTGTTATTACCTCTCTGGCTCACAGGACTAAAAGCGCTTATGGTGACCATCCCCTGTCCTGGCCACACACTAGTTTGATCAAAACAATTAATGACTTCATGTAATGAAGCTAAAAGTAGAGCAGGTGTTTTCAGCTCACTTCCACAGAAATGGATGATGCAGCTACTGTTCCCCAATGACTGAAAGGTTGCTTGAGGTTTTTTTGTTTTTTTTTTTTTCCCTCCCCCCTTAGCTACAGAAGTTGTCCTCATGCAGTGTTGCTGCTCTGTCTAAGCTTTGCCTGTTTGGCTGTGCACTCAGGAAGTTAAACAAACAGAAGTAAGATGAGTTGCTGGAAACTTGCTTGTTACAATTTGGGAATGAGTGAATAAGGATGTATCAGTCTCATACAGTCAGCTCCATAAAATAGTCACAGGGCAAAAAAACCTCCGCTTTGTCTTGGGGGGAAAAAAGCATGACACTGCTATTGGTTTGCCTGCTACTTCCACCCTCAGCAGAAGGTAAAACAGGATCTGGCAGACAAAGACGACTGACATATCCAATGCAGCTTGTTGACATTGCAAGAACAGCAACAGAGGTAGCTTTCCCTTGCCCTCTTCAGGGTTGCACAGGTGCAGGTAAGTCTGGTGGTTACAGGATTGTTTGCAAGCAGTCTCAGGCACAGAACAGGCATAAAGTCTTAAAAACAGTGCCTTGGAGAGCACGACATTTCACTGAGGCTAGCCGCATCGCTACCAGCTTCACTTGTCTTTTGGAATAAGAGTATTGTAACCTTTGGACTTAGCGGAAATGGTCGCTCAGTTGGGGGGGGGGGGGGGGCTGGGTTTTTTCTGTTTCATGAGACATGGTGACTGTGACTCACACCACTACTCTCTCTCTTTGAATGCTAGGAGTAGCACAGCTTCAGTGGTCTTAGGCTGAAGTGGAATTTTTGCTCAGAAGTCATTTGTTTGCTTTTTGATTTTTTTTCTCCCCTTCTCACTAGGCAACACTTTACGTGAAACTTATATTAATTTGGCAGAGCCGTCAGTGCCAGCAGTGCTAGAAGGAGATGCGTCTCGTTTCTTCTTCTGCTTAATGGTGACCAGGACAAAACTACAGAAAGACTTATGTGGACCACATTTTTATTTAGAGCCGTTTTGCCCACAGAAGCACATGTCGGAACACTGCATTAAGGAATGCTGCATATGGACGTGTAAGAAAAGTGCTGCCTTTAAGACAAAGTTGATTATCTGTATCACCAGCATCTCTGTTACGGCTTTAATTCTAACACCGTGGATCAGACTATTAAGAATATATTTCTTTCTTCAAAATATTAGTATTTTCACCCAACAGTTACTGGTATTTGCTTTTTTTCTG